CGCACGAAATAGCGAGAAAATGTACACAGGTTCGCGGTAATAGGGTAATGGACAGTTCGAAAACTTCCCAACTTGTGGTTATCTCGAGAGGTCAGCCTTTACTTACTTTGTAATATGTATTAATAAAAACATTGTTGTACATGGTCTGAACCATGACTACCCAAAACATATGAATAGTTTTGTAAGTGACGCGTGGAAGATAGAAATGTCTAGCCGTCTGTTCTGTCGCTTGGCGTTTGGAACAGATAGGATTCGAATGCCGCCACGGAGTCTGGACAAAACCACGTGCCGGCATGGGCGTCTTCAAATCGAAAATGTAATTCGTTCAAGGTTTAGAGCCTTTCAAGGCTTGACGTCAGATTCGTTTTAGACACGAGGTTATATCAAATGACACTGTAATTCCAAAGAAATTGGCCATCTTTGTCTGCGAATGTTGGGTCACGGTTTGGTCGAGATAAAGGAAGCCCTGAACTCATCGACCCGCCCATTGCGTCCTTGAAATCTTACTGTCTTAGGAATGCACCGTATGGTTTCTTCCTCTCGTCATATAATTAAACTGTCTGCGTAACTAGAGAAGGTTACTGACACACTGTTACTATAGGGATCCACAAAATATTACTCTGTAACTAGACAAGGTTACTGACAAACTGTTACTATAGGGATCCACAAAATATTACTATGTAACTAGAGAAGGTTACTGACAAACTGTTACTATAGGGATCCACAAAATATTACTATGTAACTAGAGAAGGTTACTGACAAACTGTTACTATAGGGATCCACAAAATATTACTATGTAACTAGACAAGGTTACTGACAAACTGTTACTATTACAAAATATTACTATGTAACTAGACAAGGTTACTGACAAACTGTTACTATAGGGATCCACAAAATATTACTATGTAACTAGAGAAGGTTACTGACAAACTGTTACTATAGGGATCCACAAAATATTACTATGTAACTAGAGAAGGTTACTGACAAACTGTTACTATAGGGATCCACAAAATATTACTATGTAACTAGACAAGGTTACTGACAAACTGTTACTATAGGGATCCACAAAATATTACTATGTAACTAGAGAAGGTTACTGACAAACTGTTACTATAGGGATCCACAAAATATTACTATGTAACTAGAGAAGGTTACTGACAAACTGTTACTATAGGGATCCACAAAATATTACTATGTAACTAGACAAGGTTACTGACAAACTGTTACTATAGGGATCCACAAAATATTACTATGTAACTAGAGAAGTTACTATAGTTACTATTACTATGTAACAAAAGGTTACTGTTAATAGGGATCCACAAAATATTACTATGTAACTAGACAAGGTTACTGACAAACTGTTACTATAGGGATCCACAAATATTACTATGTAACTAGACTGACAAGGTACCACAAAATATTACTATGTACAGAAAGGTTACTGACAAACTGTTACTATAGGGATCCACAAAATATTACTATGTAACTAGAGAAGGTTACTGACAAACTGTTACTATAGGGATCCACAAAATATTACTATGTAACTAGAGAAGGTTACTGACAAACTGTTACTATAGGGATCCACAAAATATTACTATGTAACTAGAGAAGGTTACTGACAAACTGTTACTATAGGGATCCACAAAATATTACTATGTAACTAGACAAGGTTACTGACAAACTGTTACTATAGGGATCCACAAAATATTACTATGTAACTAGACAAGGTTACTGACAAACTGTTACTATAGGGATCCACAAAATATTACTATGTAACTAGACAAGGTTACTGACAAACTGTTACTATAGGGATCCACAAAATATTACTATGTAACTAGACTGACAAACTGTTACTATAGGGATCCACAAACTATTAACTAGACAAGGTTACTGACAAACTGTTACTATAGGGATCCACAAAATATTACTATAGTAACTAGTAACTATAGGGATCCACAAAATATTACTAGAACTAGAAGGTTACTGACAAACTGTTACTATAGGGATCCACAAAATATTACTATGTAACTAGAGAAGGTTACTGACAAACTGTTACTATAGGGATCCACAAAATATTACTATGTAACTAGACAAGGTATTGTTACTATGTACAAAATATTACTAACTAGACAAGGTTACTGACAAACTGTTACTATAGGGATCCACAAAATATTACTATGTAACTAGACAAGGTTACTGACAAACTGTTACTATAGGGATCCACAAAATATTACTATGTAACTAGAGAAGGTTACTGACAAACTGTTACTATAGGGATCCACAAAATATTACTATGTAACTAGACAAGGTTACTGACAAACTGTTACTATAGGGATCCACAAAATATTACTATGTAACTAGACAAGGTTACTGACAAACTGTTACTATAGGGATCCACAAAATATTACTATGTAACTAGAGAAGGTTACTGACAAACTGTTACTATAGGGATCCACAAAATATTACTATGTAACTAGACAAGGTTACTGACAAACTGTTACTATAGGGATCCACAAAATATTACTATGTAACTAGACAAGGTTACTGACAAACTGTTACTATAGGGATCCACAAAATATTACTATGTAACTAGAGAAGGTTACTGACAAACTGTTACTATAGGGATCCACAAAATATTACTATGTAACTAGAGAAGGTTACTGACAAACTGTTACTATAGGGATCCACAAAATATTACTATGTAACTAGAGAAGGTTACTGACAAACTGTTACTATAGGGATCCACAAAATATTACTATGTAACTAGACAAGGTTACTGACAAACTGTTACTATAGGGATCCACAAAATATTACTATGTAACTAGACAAGGTTACTGACAAACTGTTACTATAGGGATCCACAAAATATTACTATGTAACTAGACAAGGTTACTGACAAACTGTTACTATTACTATGTAACTAGACAAGGTTACTGACAAACTGTTACTATAGGGATCCACAAAATATTACTATGTAACTAGACAAGGTTACTGACAAACTGTTACTATAGGGATTCACAAAATATTACTATGTAACTAGACAAGGTTACTGACAAACTGTTACTATAGGGATCCACAAAATATTACTATGTAACTAGACAAGGTTACTGACAAACTGTTACTATAGGGATCCACAAAATATTACTATGTAACTAGAGAAGGTTACTGACAAACTGTTACTATAGGGATCCACAAAATATTACTATGTAACTAGAGAAGGTTACTGACAAACTGTTACTATAGGGATCCACAAAATATTACTATGTAACTAGAGAAGGTTACTGACAAACTGTTACTATAGGGATCCACAAAATATTACTATGTAACTCAGAAGGTTACTGACAAACTGTTACTATAGGGATCCACAAAATATTACTATGTAACTAGAGAAGGTTACTGACAAACTGTTACTATAGGGATCAGCAAAATATAAAAATGCCAAGTCAAACGATTACTCCCATAACCGTTATGGGTAGTAAGCATTCCTTCCTATTTACTTTTCATCTGATCCCGTTTACGGTACCATATCTACATGTACATAGTCCTACGAGAAACATCATATAATTGAATAACTGATATATTTCAAGGCGAATATTCCAAATGATTTACCCTAGCTGTGTATAAGGTCCGAGGTCGGTTATCCCTTCATTTTGATGAGCCATTTAGCTGTCAAGCTACCGGTTGATCATGACGAACAGGGAGAGTCTGGCTTCTCAAGGTTAAAATCACTAGAAATTGATGAATTCTCCTGGTAATCATATCGTTCCTGACCAAGACAACGTCTGTCGACTGATGACCGGCTGTATAACTACCGTGATATGCTTTCCATTGTTATAGTGACGAAGTTAAAAACCTCACAAATGTCAAACCTATAAGTAAATAACCACTAAGGCATATTTCAGATTTCATAAATATAATATTTTAGACAATATTAGCATAAATCCGTTTTATCCGGTCTTATTTTCACCATGTCAATTCTCTCCCGACGAAAGAATGTATGATTAGAGAGGAAAGTTATGAAAACGACCGTGTCCATGCTTGCAATTACCCGCGCTTTCGTTACCAAGGAAACCTATTTTAGAGTATACTGTTAGGATTTCTAAAGTCAAATGTCACACCAGTAATAAGAAAAAAATTTAAAGTACGGCAAGTACATTCCATCACTAGACTGATTAATGAATTTTCCAAGGTCTAGAAAAAGTAACAGTTTGCATTTAGGCTTCGAAATGAATATGAATTGTAATCACAGGGGTCTTGATAGAAAAACAATAGAATCGGTCATGTTGACGTCATGTTGATGTTGACGTCATGTTGATGTTGACGTCATGTTGACATATGTTAATTCAATCAGGTTATTATGATTTTTAGTAAGCTCTTCCAGTATATAAACATACAAGGATGCTTTATCTTCAATTATCTCAAACTATCTTAATTAAACAGACACGCAAATATGTTGAAACTATTAATGAAATGTGAATAAACACGTTACTATCACAGTTACGATAATAACGAACATTAGTATAAATATGGCGCGATGACGTCACGACTATTGATCTCACTCAGATGTCGTTCATGTGGACAATACAAACAGCGTACACTCAATACTTAAATGTAGGATTGATTAAAACTTATCATTTTTTGTCTTTTACCTGTTAACTTCTCAAAAAGCATTTAATGTGGACAATTGTTACGACCTTGTTTATATTGTAGTACACGTTATCTTAATATAACGTATTAACAATATTATATATATATATATATATATATATATATATATATATATATATATATTAATCACTTAACATGACAAACAAATATATCATGTCATGTTAAGTGATTAATTCTCTCTGTATATACGATACACAAAGTTTTTATCTTTTTAAATTAATACAAGTAATTTTAGTATAACGTATTAACAATATCCTATATAGGAAGTAAGGCAACACACCCCTACCAATACAGTGATCTATGATACAAACGTACAGATAATCCGTACTTACCATGTCCACTTCCGATATTGTGTCAAAGCTAGCGATGATCAACTCTATTCCAATGTCCAGTCGTTCGCCTATTAAAAAATGAATAGTATGTTAACACATATTGTGTGCATGACGTTAGAACATTTGATTCAAAATCCGTAGCATGTTCTGGAATTTATCTATACTGTACCAGATTGATTCAGTTAGACGATGATATGCTCGTCACTCAACCTTTTTACTAGCAATTTAACCTTTTTACTAGCAAACTAACCTTTTTACTAGGTTATTAACCTTTTTACTAGGTTATCAACCTATTTACTAGGTTGTTAACTTTTTTACTAGCAAGCTAATCTTTTTACTAGCAAGCTAACCTTTTTACTAGCAAACTAACCTTTTTACTAACAAGCTATTCTTTTTACTAGCAAACTAACCTTTTACTAACCAGTTAACCTTTTTACTAGGAAGTTACCATTTTTACTAGGATGTTAACCTTTTTTACTAGGTTGTTAACCTTTTTACTAGCAAGCTAATCTTTTTACTAGCAAGCTAATCTTTTTACTAGCAAGCTAATCTTTTTACTAGCAAACTAACCTTTTACTAACCAGTTAACCTTTTTACTAGGAAGTTACCATTTTTACTAGGATGTTAACCTTTTTTACTAGGTTGTTAACCTTTTTACTAGCAAGCTAATCTTTTTACTAGCAAGCTAACCTTTTTACTAGCAAGCTAACCTTTTTACTAGCAAGCATTATCGCGTTACATGAATTAAACAATAACCAACGACAAATTATATTAATGGAAAAAAAGAAAATACCAACATGTTAAAATCTTTATTCGAGTTTAAAACCGATTCACCGAGGGAAAAGTGAAGGAAGGAAACATGGTAATCACTGTGTAAAGTACAGGTAGGATAAAAACCGATTCACCGAGGGAACAATGAAAAAAGGAAAGCTTAAAACCGATTCACCGAGGGAACAATGAAGAAAGGAAAGCTTAAAACCGATTCACCGAGGGAACAATGAAGAAAGGAAAGCTTAAAACCGATTCACCGAGGGAACAATGAAGAAAGGAAAGCTTAAAACCGATTCACCGAGGGAACAATGAAGAAAGGAAAGCTTAAAACCGATTCACCGAGGGAACAATGAAGAAAGGAAAGCTTAAAACCGATTCACCGAGGGAACAATGAAGAAAGGAAAGCTTAAAACCGATTCACCGAGGGAACAATGAAGAAAGGAAAGCTTAAAACCGATTCACCGAGGGAACAATGAAGAAAGGAAAGCTTAAAACCGATTCACCGAGGGAACAATGAAGAAAGGAAAGCTTAAAACCGATTCACCGAGGGAACAATGAAGAAAGGAAAGCTTAAAACCGATTCACCGAGGGAACAATGAAGAAAGGAAAGCTTAAAACCGATTCACCGAGGGAACAATGAAGAAAGAAAACATGGTAATCACTGTGTACAGTACAGGTAGGATAAGTCAGAAGTGTTGTGGAAGGACAAGCGTCTTCTGTTTCATTGAAGACACCCGCTAGGTGTCTTACGGTAAGTAATGTTTCGTTCCTATACTTGTACCATGTTAATGATAACCAAACAATTGGGTAAATTAACGACCATTAAACACATCTAACTTCACTAGAAAATATCCCTGGAAAGTTTGGTGCTCGTTAGTTGGACTGTTGGTTCCTTTGTTCTATACCATTTTTGCATTTGAGAACGTAATATTGTTTAGTTTGATTGCCCAGGGTTCACATCGTGATTGTTGTCGATGAAGCAACATCCCGCAGTCTTAAGGGTAACGTATGTTAACTTCAATAACATCATGTTTGTCGTCTGAATTGGGATTCATCACTTCCATAAACATGGGATATGTAACCACTACGGCATATATCCAGAAGCAGTGTGAGTTCTTCTTTAATATGATTGATAAGGAAACTTTCCCACTATTCTCCCTATTTTAACAACCTCATTAAATTCCTTTAACATATGAAACTGTATATATCCAAACAAGCGAATTACATGTTTAAGTATAGGTACTCTGGGCATGATATCGTACCATCAACTATTATTGTGGTAAGGTACGTATTCATGTTTATCATCCAAAGTGTCAAATAAACTTGTCAAGTGGCATAAGAAACAATTTTCTCGCTGTCAGTCATCAAGCATGTTTCCTGATTGGCACGTCTATACAGCACTGCGTCTTGGAGGCACACTGAATGGACAAGCGACAGTGTTACTGTCTAGGAGGCACACTGAGGGGGACAAGCGACAGTGTTACTGTCTTGGAAACACGCTGAGGGGGACAAGCGACAGTGTTACTGATATACACCTGCTCATTTACAGAATTACAGATTTATGATGGTTAGTTGTATTTTACAATAGTATTCTAATGTCACGAAAAATGTAATATATTGAAATTAAAGAAACGGCACAGTCCCCGGTGGAACCTCCCTTTAGACAATATCTCGGATATGGTATGATGACTTTTATATAAAATGTGCAGTCGTGCTCATGCGCAGAAGAATCCTTTGATATATGCCTGATCAGTTAGTTTGATCAATGCCAACGTTTTTCCATGATGGATTTCCAAGAAATTGATTAACGTTGGTATGAGGTTTAATGTGTTTTGGTGTCATCCAAGTCGGCCCTCATCCGGGCCTGTACAGAAATAACCCATTAAAAGCTGCTACATTTGCTACGAAACATTATACATCTTCTGGATTTCAATGTCAGTCAGTGTTATTTGTTTTCATTGAAACGATAAAATGGAATTCCCCAAAATCTAATTTCTATTTGAGAGAACAACAGACAGTAATTATATCACGGCTAACTATCAAATATAACGTGGGTTGATCGACAAGGTAAGGCTTACACTGATTTTCCGTGATGAATGATTTATTAAAAAAAAAATGATTCCAGTAGGAACAGTTGATACAAGGAGAATTCAAACACTTACTGATGATGCGTTAAAAAGTTTTATTTATCGAAAGCAATTTAGTTTGTTTCTAGCTGTCATGAGAGAGTTTACGTATGTAATTGTTATTTATAGGAGAGGTGATTAAATATCTGGTGATATGCTTGATAAATGGAATTGAAGGGACTATTTACTTTGTCAGTGAGTAATGTAGTTGTCCGCACTGAGACACCACTATGACTTTTCTACAGATAGTATACCTTTACGTATTCTCGTTTTAACTAAATCATATCGTCATCGTCTAGACAGACTGTGTTGAACCTTAGGTAACATTTTTCAAATGATGCTTGAAGTGGAAACAGCTTTGTACAATAACTGTCGAGAATGGACAGACCGTGTTTCGTTCCAGATAACAATGTTGAAATGGCCATTATTTTTGTTCAGACGTCATTGTGTTATTTACAAGTTTCCATCAGATAACATGTAAAAATTAGAATTGTCTCCTGGTCATTCATGATCACCAGTGATTTACGATATAATGCAAATCTATGAAAACTTTAGGAAGGTATGAATATTGCCCACAAATAATCAACATGAAAGCAAGATGATTTCTTAATACAGAAAAAGAAGATGATAATTTTATATGTCGACCAGAGTTGAGTGAAAAAGCGGGTTCATGTAGGATAACTACAGAAAGAAAGATTGCACTAGATAGAATCCACTGAAAAAACAGGTATTAGTACAAAGAAACGTCGGAATGTAAGGAAAAAACGAGATAATCCATTATAATAGCATGTGTGTTGATACGGACTAAGTCAAGAGAAAAAAAAACCTTTTACCAGAGTTGATATAGGGCTACAAACTACATTGTATGAGAAACCCTATAGATTCCTTGCCTAGACTTTGCTATTGATTCTGAAGCCATACATGAAATTCCAGCGGTGATGTGGAATTAACTGTAAAAGCCAAAGAAACAGTATACATAGAATTCGATAAAACTTGAAAAGACTGGAAAAAAAAATTGTTCCAGACCTTGAACATGATGTATTGCCGTGCAAGGTCAAGGTTGAATGACCTAACATGGCATCTCTAGTCCAAGATGTCGGTTCCCTTTCCTAATGTATACATTTCTGCACTGAGTGTACATCCGGACAGACAGATATACGGATGTCATATGATAATGAATCGAACCAGACAGACGTATTCCTGAATTCTATCTACTTATTTATGATTAATTTGAGCTGTGTGACAGAGTTTGATAACATTTTCCATTAACTGTCTAACATTTTAGTATTTATTGAACCGCCATGTAACCCCTCGGGAATCTCTTCCGTTGACATTAGTGAAGTACAGTACAGAAATCCTTAGTTACTTCCCCGGACGTGTCGCCCTCTTCAAATGTCACAGAAAACTTATTTCAGTCTGGTTTATGTCTTGATTAAACCCCGATTTTATGTGAGACATAAACCGTGGTGTAAGAGATGATAATGGTGTATAGTGACATGTATGGTGTTAGATGTACCGAGCTAACAATGGCTTCCAGACTCTGTATCCCCTCATACAGAATAACGTCGTCACAATTTAAAATACCTCTTATGACGTAAGGCGTTATGTCAATATTTCTGTACTATATTTCCTTGTAAACGAGTAAACGCACTTTATCAAATCATATCTTATTAAACAGTTTCAGATGCATTTACTGTATGGAGCATATTCGCTAATGTCAAGTTATTATGTGTAAACAAACCTGTAGTAGGTATTTGTAAAACCGGCCAAACATGTCCGATAAGTTAAGAAAACTGCCTTATAACGTCCCCCAGTACTGTTAGAATGTCACATCACCAGTTTTGGCAACGTAACACAATTATGGTAATATTCCACAGGCTGTAAATAGTGTCACGTCATTGACTCGAACGATTTGAATATGTCTGACAAGGGTGATATAAACGAAATCATGTCATTTCCCCAACGATACAAGGATCGATTATCTAAAAACTCTTGTTAAATGAAATCATTGATTAAAACCATTGTGCCGTTCCTTCAGATTAAGATTCTACACGTGATCAAGACAAAGCTCGAAACTTCAAAATTTCTTTGGAAAATGGTAATTCAATTTCAAAATTTTCGCAACACTTGAGTGGAAAAAAATTAAGGGAAGAAAGGTCTTACATCGATGG